AAAGCTCAAGGAATGGTTCGAGGGTAACTCATAAGGCACAGTAGAAATTATGTATGGTGTGGTACGCGAACAAGTTTCTGAAAGCTGGTTACACATGTATGACTTAAGCAGTACAATGATCCCTAATGTTAGTTCACCAATGAATGACGAGGAGCACTTTTGCAAGTTAATCTTATACAAGGAAATTAAGGATTCAAGGTATGTAGTTGTCCTCGTATTCATTGGAGAATTCAATGTACTGTACAATGTCATTCAGAATTAATATTCTATGATAAGTATTATCAACTCTTATAAGAAAGTATTATCGTTAGTAACAATTAAAACTAATGAGAATCACTGATCTAATGTGTTTCTATTTTTCCAGGGTACGAATATGGGATATTATCATATTGATACCAAATCTCTTGTTTCTCTTATTCATCGCAGTGAGATTTAACAGAGCACGGCTTAAATTGAGAGCAACGAGTAGTCCAATATTTTTAGCATTTTATGGACTTGTCATTTGTAACGTAGTCATTTCAGTGATACGATGTGTAGTATCAATGACTGTAAACGCAGCTGCTACAGTTGGTGGTAAGGTCGACAAAGTACTGTGGGTTACAGTTAGATTCTTCTTATTATCCACAGAGATGAGCGTACTCATTTTTGGTTTAGCCTTTGGTGAGTCTAACTTCGGTAGAAACACATTTTCGATAGAAATGCAAGACTTTAAATGCATTTTAATTTCTTCTTAAAGGACACTTGGATAGTCGTTCAAGTATTCGTAGAGTACTACTTGCCACATCATTCATAGCACTGGCTTTTACTATAACCCAAGGGACATTGGAGCTAGTTTTACCAGATGATACATTCCACATTCCCAGTAAAGATTTTTATGTATTTGGTCATGGGGGTATGATGTTCTGGTTCTGCAGCAGTCTTGTTTTCACAATAGTAAGTTGACGCGAGATAACCCTATTACTGACGGAATTATATTAGGATACTAATCATACTTTCATTTCAGATATACCTTTTTATATTAATACTGCCATGGACACGGTTAAGAGACCGTTTAACCCTCCCAAGTACGTGAATGATGATACAGAACCAAAGAATACTTTGTACTTCTGTCTTACAAGCTGTTTTCTGTTACAGCAAAAAAAAGTTTTTACATCTACGCTGGTACATTAGCCATGCTAGACTTGGTACAATCAGTTGGTGCAGGCTTTTTAAATTATACACAGAATCCTGTGGGTTTATGCATCGTGGACTTTACAGCCGCTATTTACCTAACTCTTTTCACACCATTGGTTTATCACACATTCCTGTCAGAATTTCTCGGGTAAGTGGATTTGCTTAACCCTTGCGTCATTAATTACAATCCTATTTTAAATAGTAGCCGTTCACAACGAGTATCATTTCAGGGTTTCACAACCCTCCATCATGTTCTCCTACAAGGCTCAAGTGGACGATGCAATGGACGAAGACACAGTGTCCCTACCGCATCAGCAGAGTTTCTCGTCGCTGAAAACAGACAGCGATTACATATACCAGGTCCATACTCCGTCTATTCACATGCCCTTATACGATTCGCAGATATTAAAATCATCTCCCTCGAAACACAAGGCTTCCTTCCACTCCCTGGCTTCCCAAAAGGATTCGAAAACCGCTAGCGGGCACGCCTATGAATCCACAACCGCTTTGTACCGCTCCACCTCCGGGATTAAGAACTTCTCCAGACGGCTTGGCACGGAGAAGGCCGGCGCGATCTTGAAAAACTACCCGCTCGCCAGATCAGACAATTTTATCGATTCGAAGAAGAGCACGCCCGATCTAAGATTTCCTAGCACTGCTTGGAAAAGCAGCTCCATATCGCAGATCAAGTATGGTGGGCCTAGTAGCGTCTCCAACCTGCTATTTCCACCAACCACTGCTAGTAATTTTTTGTACAAACCGAAGGCTAACGACAGCAACACGAACCTCTTCTCCCTCACCAGAAAAAGCAGTTTGGATCGTGAGAGGAAAGGCTCGGAAGGGAACGTAGCTCAATACTTTGACATACCTCCTTTGGAGAACACTTTACAATCCATTCTGGATAGCGGTCATCACGACCCTAAAGTGGCAGATAGTATCTTGGTTCAGGAGTCCTTAGATCTTATTGAATCTTCGGGGAATAACTCTGATAAAAAAGAATCGAGTTCTAGTAACCGGTTGACAGATATCGGGACATCCGAAGTAAACGCGGATGAAACGTCAGATTCTGCTGATAATGCTTCCCAGCTGTTACTTTCTAATCATGTTCTCACTAATAAAGACAGATACGAGAAACGTAAGAAGGACTCGAAGAAGAAAGAGTCCGGCGGTCTCAGTGAATACTTACTGTCGCTAACAATGAGCAGCCACAAGTCTCCGAGAGACGGCGAATCAGCTCCCAGTCCTTCCCCTACTGATCAAAAAACCTACACGCAGACTGAGTTGTTGTAAATATTAATTTGAAGTCATTGATGTAAAGTCTAAGTCATTAGTAACCATACGGGATGTCTCTGAGTCTACTTTATCACTTGGAATGTTTTTTTCTCTTCATTTTAATACTTCAGTGGAATTCTTGCCATTGTAGAGTCGATGTTCTCGAAGCAAATGGAAGTGAAAGTTGTTTCAGTATCATGAGAAGAAATATTAAAGACAGGGAAAGTGTTCCTAAGAATAAAGTCAGATGGAACAGCCTGTATATAAGGGAATTTTTTAATTACTTGAGGTCGTTTTTACCCATTGGACTATTAGATGTATCATAGTGTAATATATGGAGGCGCGCACAAATGCTTTATTATATCTGTATATACGGCATGTCTAGATTTAATTAAACTTCTTAATGTAGCCAACGTACATGGTTTTATTTATTTATGACACTAACTTGGCAGTGGATCACGCTAATCTTTTAATTTTCTGCTGCGACGGTACTCGAGGCGAACACAGTCTGCTTTCTTTCATTTGCAACGAGTTCAACCTGCACTGCGCCGCATCATTGTGAATAATTTTCTGCACTTAGCTTGAAAGTGTACATTACTTTATGTTGTATGTTTGCTATTGCGCTCATCGACACATTCATTACCATAGCACGTAGCGTACAGGGGACAGAATCCTTTCTTAATTCCAATAAAAAAAGGAAAGATCGCATTTCGGTTGAATTTGTCAATCAGATATCAACTTTGATTTCAAGTGACTTACGAGTACTGATATGGTAATCAATGTGCTAACACGATAAGAATGCGAAAACAAGAAGAGTTACACGTTAACGTCCGGGCTTTGGAATAAAAATTCTACTGGGACAATAGAATTTTATTCTTCTAGAATCAAATCTGCAATCCGATTATCAATTACACTCGAAGAGACATTACTATCGTATCTTTGATTCATTCGCAATTTTCACACGATATTACCACACATACGTAACACTATTCAAATACAATCAATCAACGCAGTAAGATACGTATCTCTTTTCGTTTCTACATTCTCGCATAATAAACACATTCACGCCTCAATGAACTATGATATCCCCAGAAGAAACATGTGATTCTCAAAGATTTGAAAAGGCTGAATCGGTCTCCAGGAA